CATATGTGGAAGGCTTACAACACAACCTCATAATCGTTTCACAGTTGGTTGTTGGCACAGGATTAAAAGTTTCGTTTGATGATGAGGTATCTGAGATTATTGAAAAGGAGACCAAAACAATGCTCCTAATGTCAAAGCGCAAAGGCGAGATGTATCCACTCAACCTGAACCCCATCAAAGGGAAGCCTGCCATCTTCCTACTCACGAAAGCTTCTACAAATGATTACTGGTTGTGGCACCAGAGACTCTCACATCTCAATTTTAAAGACATCAATAAACTTGTTCTCGGTAATCATGTTCAAGGACTTCCTCTCATGAACTTTGATAAAGAACATCTTTGTACAACCTGCAAATTGGGGAAGCAGAGCATGAAGAGTCATCCAATAGTTGTGAATGCGAAAGTCATAGAACCACTTGAACTCTTGCATATAGACCTTTATGGTTCTTCTGCAATTGAAAGCATTGGTGGTAACAAATATATATTCTTGTAATTATTGATGATTTTTCTATATTTACCTGGTTTCATTTTCTTAAGTAGAAATCAGAAGCCACTCCCAAGATTAGTGATTTCATAAAGCAGATTGAGATATAACTGCGAAAGCTGGTTCGTAACATTCGTAGTGACAACAGTTTGGAATTCAAAAAACCAAGTGTTTGAAGAATTTAAGACTACGAAAGGATTAACTTGAAACTTTTTGACTCCTTAAACACCTAAATAGAACGGGGTAGTTGAAAGACAAAATCAATCTTTGTGCAAAGCTACGAGAACCATGTTATCATTCGCGAATCTGCCACTTTACTTTTACGCATATGCTATTGGAACAGCCTGCTTTACTCAAAATCAATCAATCTTCAATAAGCGATTCTATGTTACTCCCTATGAGATTATAAATAATCAAAAACCTAATGTCAAGTTCTTTCATGTGTTTGGTTCCTAGTACTGTATCTTCAATTCTAAAGAGTAAAGAAACAAATTCGATGTGAAGGCCGAAGAAGGTATTTTCTTGGGGTATTATTTGACTTCTAAGGCATATAGGGTTCTTAACAAAAAGTCCGGAAGATAGAAGAATTCTACTTTTTCACATTCGATGACAATTACTTACAGAAGCATCAGAAGAATGACAGTCAATCAAAAGAGATCTTTCCCAATCCGAATCCAGCAAAAAATCCACTTTCCACTCTCTAAGAGGAGTTCATGAACTTATTCGACGAGCCATAAAAGGCAATCTCCTCAGAATCCAAAGCATCAGAAAATAAGGAAGACAAGCTGAAGAAAATCATTGATGATGCTACGAAAGATATAGAACAAGAGCCACCAAGTACGAGAGTTCCTCAAGTTGCGAGTACACCGTTTCAGGAGGTTCTACTTCAACCTCCACAACTAATACACCTTTTCAGGGGGGCGGGGGAATTCAACTCAATCATTGTGCCTTTTCTAAACGGGGAACTTTGAAGAAAAAATGTATGTAGAACAACCACTAGGGCTCATAAACCAAAATTAACCCAATCATTGTTACATTCTGGATAAAGCAGTTTATGGTCTAAAGCAAGCTCCAAGAACATGGTACGAAACTCTTACTTCTGTTTTAAAACATGCTAAATTTAAACAAGGATCGGCAGACCAAACCTTCTTTCGCAAGAAAGATGGTGAGCACTTGATGATCGTCCAAATTTACATTGATGACATCATCTTCGGATCAACTAACCCCAACTTAACTGCTGAGTTCCGAAAGTTGATGGAAATTAAGTTTGAGATGAGTTCCATGGGCTGACTAACTTTTTCCTTAGATTGAATATAAGACAGAGTCGGGAAGGTATCTTTATCAATCGGTAAGCTTATACAAAGACCTTACTTGCTAAGTTTGGAATGGTGGGAGATTCGAAGGTGAAAGTTGTAATGGCATTTGGAATGTAAATAACACCGTCTTTGGACAAACCATCTGTCGATATGACACTCTATCTTCAAATGATAGGTTCATTTATGTATCTAACCACTAGTCATCCAGACATTGTGTTTTCTGTTTTCTATTGTGCCAGGTTTCAAGAGAATCCTTGCGAACCCTACATGACTGCTGTTAAAAATATCTTCAGGTATCTCAAACGAACATCCCCGCGAGGAATTTGGTACCCTTCAAGTTCAGGTTTCTTTGTGCGAGCATTTTCGGATGCTGATCTCAGAGGTTATGGTTTGGATCGAAAAAGTACAACGGGAGGATGTCAATTCCTTGATGGCAAACTTGTTAGATATCAATCAAAGAAACGAACCTACGTCCCCCTGTCAACTCCTGAAGCAGAGTACACAGTCGCTGCACAAGTTATCTGGATTCAAAGTCAGCTTCGTGACTATGGCATCAATATGAAGCGAATCCCCTTTTATTGCGATTCTGGTAGTGCCAATTGCATATGTCACAACCCAGTGCAACATTCAAAGAACAAACACATCTTACATGGGTATCACTTCATCAAATATCATGTAGAAGTTGGAAATGTCAAGATACACTTTGTTAGATCCATTGATCAGCTAGCTAACATCTTTACTAAAGCCTTACCTAAACAAACCTTTAATCATATTCTTCAAGGCTCAGGAATGATTGAAACGGAATCAGTTCTGAAACTACATTCGCTCTAGAAAAGCATTGTTTGAACTGTGAATGGGTGCAAATGTTCATAGTAATTTGTAGTCTACTATTCATTTACGAAAGTTCACAGTTATTTATAGTCTACTGCTCATTTGCGAAAGTTTGTAGTTATTCGTAGTCTACTGTTCATCTGCGAACACTCGCAGTGGCTCGTAGTCCACTGCTAATTCAAGGTTTCTGAGCTTCTTGCATACTTTTGTATTTTTTTTTTTGTGTTTTTACGTATTTTTTCTCTTTTTATTTCTTTTCAGAAAATCAAAACTACAAAAATATTTTATTTACTTTCTATTTTTATTTCTTTTTTAGAAAAATCAAAACTTTAAAAATATTCTATTCTCTTTCTATTTTTGTTTCTTTTTCAGAAAAACCAAAAATACAAAAATATTTTCTTTATTTTCGTTACTTATTTCTTTTCATAAAATATTCAAAAAATACCAAAAATATTAGATAATTGAGGCGGTTTTAAGGCACATATCTAGGTAATCTCAATTATGAATGATGGGGTAGGTATAAATTTCCTAATCTATGCACTACCCTAGAAGCATGTTGTTGGATGTAGTCCGAACCCTCAAAGACTCTATGTTGAAGCCCTAAAGAATCGATAACACTAATCGTTTCTTCCCAATCAGGCTGTTAATTCACATTAGTCAAGAGCTACCTTACTATTCTCATATTGAGTTAAGAGTTAACTGCTTGGTCACTTTGACATAGCAGAGGTACATTTTTCTTAGAACCACCTCCCACTACTTCTCCATCACTTTCGAATTCATGAACGTAACCCTTGAGACTCTCAGAAATTACCACTGAGGTTTATGGTTACACAAAGTATGTGTTTATGATTTTAAATTCGTTATAACCATGAATTGAGTGAAACCCAAAATCTAACACATATTTACAAATTTACAGTGAACAATTTAAATGTTCTAGCTTTTTCACCAAGGAATTAACGAATGACCACCTTCGTGGTTTGTACCCTGAAATCTCTTTTTCTTTTTGTGTGATATTAATGAAATGTTCTAGTCCTAAGACGTTTCTTCCCAATAGATCCGGTTTTTACTCTTTTATTGAGATTTCTATACTTATCTAAGTCACTTAAAATAATTCCATAGCATACTTATTCTTATGACTACACTGGTCATACAAGTACCTCATCCGAATATTCAGACTTATGTCAAGTTTCATAGTTTGGTTGAAGATGAAGCCACCCTTTAAACTTAATGAAAAGACGCCTTTCATTGTTTCTCAACAAACAGATGATCGTAATTCAACAAGACACCATACATACACTTTAGAGTGTCTCTTGACTCTGGAGGAAGCGATCATTGCCCGGGATCCATCTGCTTCATGTCTTAACAGACATCACTAGAATCCCATAGAATAATGTTGATTTATTTCTTTATCTTTAACACACTCTTGCACGAAGATCATTGTGATTTTCCAAAGTCTGGTTCGTGGTAGTGATGACTACTTTCAGTTTCGTAGGACAATTGATGGCGATTAATTGTGAAAGGATGTCACTGAATTGGTTGCGAAATGGCGTAACTGAAAAGAAAATTTAAAAGGATAAGATTTAGGCGTTTGAAAATTTGAAACTGATGCTGATGTCACACCACCTGACACACATTATCTCACGTCACAACTATCACTTATGCCTTTCTAGGCGACTTTTCAGTATTTGATGTAACCAACCTCCAGATTTCTCTCTTCTATCAAATGGTATAAAAGTATTTTGACGTTGCAATGTTCATTACCACTTCAAAAGAAATCAAAATTATCCTGGCGATTATTCTCTTTACTGTTCATCATCACCTTCATCAAGCATCCATGGCAGCTTCATTAGAAACCCCTTCCGTCACAGATCAAATGGCTCAATCATTTCTTCGTAACATCAAGGCTAACCAGAATCTCATTCTGGACCTTGATCCTGCTAAGTGCGATGGTTTTCACCAACCTCTCATCGAGTGTCTCCGTTATTCCCCACTGGTCATTGCACTGACAAAATCAGAAATCGTACCCTTTGTTCATATGTCCAAGGCATATTCTACTGTAGGCTACCAAAAAGGGGAGGAATAGATTAACTTTGAAATCGATTACAAGAAAACCCGCATCTCGAAATCGCAGTTCTCTAACATGCTAGCGCTTCCTCAAGGTCGTGACCAAGTTGATCCTGAGACCGTCTGCAATTCTTCAATTTTGGAGATGTTTTACCAAATGGGATACAAGGAGGTTTTAACCACCATCTCAAATTCCAAGAAGCCAAATCTGCCACCAATGTGGAATGGGTTGTTTACCATCATCTTCAAAAGATTCTATGAGAGGGTAACCAACTCAGACTGTGCAAGCACGCTATTAATGACGATAATGTATTACATCTTTTCAGGAATCAATCTTGACTATAAGACTGTGCTTTGGGCTCAAATGGTCCAGAGTAACCTTTCGACTACACGACATAACGGGATTTCATGTGCTCATTTTTGGACTCTTGTGGTTCAAAGAGCTATGGATCGGTTCAACATCCCAGTCATGGAGGGTTCCAGTATGGCCGCTATTCAGATTTTCCGCACCACCAACATCATCTTGGTTGATATTTCAAGATTCACATTCACCGGTTCCATCCCTGAGACAATGCTATGTAATGTTCCTGTAACAAGTGAAGTTGTCCAAACCTATCGCAGTCTACCGGTCTCCGGTCTTCGACCAATAATAGATGTTGTTTACAAGGTTATTGAAGAGGCCGACAAACCAAAGAAGGGTGGAAAGAAAAGAACTGCGAAGGTTGGTCCATCTGAACAAACCCAAACACCAAAGAATAAGCTCAAGCGAGCGACTCACAAACCACAAACTCCAACGCCAAGTGACCACGGAGATTCACAGTCCAACACGGTATTAGACATTCTGGTTCAAGGAAATGTTCACCATGAACATGATGATACTGCTGCAACTTTGTAACCCCAGGTTTTGTAGCCAGTCACTTCTAATCCAGAGGTAACTTTTCAAATGCCCAAATCTATTCCACTTACATATGATTTTTTCCAATGTTTTACTCCTCCTTACTCTCCAATCACTACTACAACACCAATCACTATCGCACTACTTTCAACTTACTCTATGGGTGGTTTGCAAACCCAAGCTACTGCTGCACAATCCCCTCCACTGTTTACAGATTCGACAGCAACCACAACCACAACCACTAGAGAACCTCCAGTTTCTGTCAACGTATCTGATGCGGGAGCAGGTGCTTCAAATTTAACTCTTAGTAATTCTACACCACCCATCTCACCTCTACACCAAGACGATCCAGATACTGTTTATGGTGACGATGAAGACGATTTTGGAGGGTTTACCTACAATTCGTTCAATATTAGGAAGAGAGTGATGATGAAGCTACGGTCACCAGAGGGAAGTTTAAGGAACTGACTGAAAAGTTGGACTCCTTAATTGAGTACACAAAAAAATTCTCTCGTGGTGATTACTCTCAAGAAATTCTCAAGGCCTTCTTTGAAACGCTGGCGAAGGAACACTCTGTGAACCTTGAGAAAACAAATCAAGTTGTTGAGGCTTCAGCTTCTGTATGCAAGGAAACAACCAAAAAAGTCGATAAACTAATTTCTGATGCTCGATCCTTTATAAGTACTTTTCAGAACTCTTTTGAGACGAACACTACGAGGCAAATGCAATGATATCCAGTCTTGGATCAACCCTTCATACTGAGAAGGATCATCTTGAAAAGGTTCATACTGGCATCCACTCTGATAATTCAGAGCTTAACTCCTCCATCTCTTCCAAAATATACAAGCTTCATGAAGACTTGGCTATGGAGAACAAAATAATGGATCAGCTCGCAGTCAAAACTGAAAAAGAGAAGAACAAGTGAAAGTTCTAACTGTCAAGCTGGCACACGCTGATATGTACAATAATACACCCTAATCCAAAAAGGCGGTGATGAAGAGTTGCAATGCTGATGTGAACGCCTTACTCTCAGATATCATTGAGACTTGTGATTATTTAATCACGATCACAGTTAAGAAGCATCTGGCTGAAAAACTTAGGCCTGTGTTTGCGATGCTCAATAGAATTGAGGGTATTTTGAAGTCTGACACACTTCTGAAACAAGGGAGAGACACTGTGAAGCAATCTACGAAAGAAACCACGAAACCAACTGATACAACTGTAAAGCCAAAGTTAGAAAACGAACTGAAGGTTAATGTAGCTTCGGGTTCGAAAGGTAAAGAGAAGCTTATCAATGATAGTGAAGAAGATGAGCCTGATGAGCATGAGATGAAATGAAGGAATGCTCGTGAAGCTCATATTGATGAACATAATCGGATCATAAGAGAAGCAGAAGAGAAAGAGAAAGCTGAACGAGAAGCTCAAGTCACTTATGAAAGCAGGACGCTTTTGTTTCCATTATGGACTTTGGAGCGAATTATGAATGAGGCTTTAGACAATCCAAGCCAATATTAGTTAGAACCTGTTGCATCTTTCTATTTGTAGAACACACAAGATTCGCAACTCGATGTTCAAATAACACCGAAAGCCTTCAAGTTTTGTTGCTTCGTCAAAGTTGCAAACGTTCCTCTAACTGACAATGGTGCTGACCATATGCTCTTCTCCTTCTACTTGAAATATATGAAGCCTCAGTATGAAACGTGGAGTGTGTAAAAGATAACAATTGTGAAGGTTTCAGATCCAATTGAAATCGATAGCTTCTCAAATGCTCGTTTTAAGGTTGCTAGAGGTTCTACGAGTAAGGTATTTCAATTTACACTTGCTAATCCACCTTGCTTGAACCCGTACGATTGGATTTTGCTGCTCAATATGTTGCTCAAGTACGAACAAAAGTATGAACCCATTGTTTCTTATCTCAAGCGAATGTTAGTTTTGTACATTCAAGAGGTTGGCAAAATGGATGTTGAGATTGCAACAGTTGTAGCACCTGGTTCCTGGTATGTATTTTATTTAATGTATTTTGCATTTTTGGCCTAGGACTCGGTGAGTTAAAGGCCTAACTCGTCGAGTGGGAGTGGGTTTGGACGGGACTTAAGTGAAGGACTCGTCGAGTTGGCGGCCAGACTCGACGAGTAGGCTCTGACTGGATAAAAACCCTAATATGAGGTTTACATCCTATTTAATCATCTCTTTCAACCACCACTCGTCCCTATTGCTCCCAAAGGCCCTCCATAGCAAACCCTAAGTGTTTTGGTGCGAGAGCTAAGGCTTTTGGGGTGATTTTTGTGGGTTTTGACCTCAAGGAAGAAGGAAGAGCATAGAAGGATCAAAAGGAGACTGAAGGATTCGAGTTTGGTTCATCATTTGAAATCTTTGAAAGGTATAAAGTCTGTACCTTGCTTGCTTGTTTGTTAGATCCCGTTTTGGTGAAGATTTAGGGCTTTTAAGCCATATGAGGTGACCAACCATGATTTGAAAACATGGTTGCGGGTCAAGACTTTGGATCTAACACTTGGGAAGAGTCACAAGGCATATTTGGGTTGCTTTAGCAGCCAAGGAAGGTCCCATGCAACAAAAGAGCCATTTTGGCTCAAAAGTCCCATGCATGCACGTAAAGTTTGTAACTTTACGTGCTAGATCGAGCTTAAGGGCTTGGATCTATCATTTGGACAAGTGTTGTATATCAGAAATCAAGGATTTAGGGTGTCGACGTTATCGACTCAGCGAGTCCGTTCTTGGGGCTCGGCGAGTCCAAGGCAGTTAGTCCTATAGATGTTGAGGGTCAAAAGAACTCAGTTAGGTGTTAGAAGAGTTGTAGCAGGTCAGAAGGAGTGACCCAATGCATTGGATTTAGTTTTAGACCTGGATTTCATGGGACTCGACGAGTGCTAGAACAGATTTTGCGAGTCCAAGGCAATCTCCTTATGTTTGAAGATAAACTCGACGAGTAGTTCATATAACTCGGCGAGTCAAGGTCAGGACTTGCTCATCAGATAAAGGTGAACTCGACGAGTTGTTCATACAACTCGGAGAGTTGGATGAAGATTCATTGATGTTCGTAAAGAGTGGGAACTCATCGAGTCGTTGCCAAACTCGACGAGTCGAGTCATGGATAAGGATGGGTAAAGGGTAGCGACTCGACGAGTTGACGGCCCAACTCAGCGAGTCGGGTCTACTGGAAGTTGACTTTGACTTGGACTTGGTTGGGGGTAAAATAGTCATTTTAACCTAAGAGTGGATCTCAGATTAAGACTGAGTGTTTTGTGGGGATTTTAGCTAGAGGATTTCCGGAGCAGCAGCAGACAGAGGTTTCCCATGCATATTATCAACAGCTAGTCGTACGAGGTGAGTTACCTTCCAGTAGGGGTGGGTCTAAGGCCACAATGTCGGCCCACCAAAGAGGGGTATTTAGAAGATGATTGTCTTTGTGATAATTATCTTGGTCTGGTTATGTGCTTTGGTCATGAGATTTATCTGTATGATATGTTATGTGTATAGTAGGGGTCAGTTTCCCTGACAGCGGTCCTTAGGACCAAAGGGTAGGTCAGTACCCGGATATGCCTGACTGTATGTTTATATCTTAATGTTGTATGCTAGTGGTAAGGGGTGGAATAGTCCCCAGTTACCATTTGAAAGATACCGATGATGATTATCAATTGAAAGATACCGATGAGGATTATCGGTTGAAAGATACCGACGATGATTACTGGTTGAAAGATACCGATGAGGATTACCAGTTGAAAGATATAGATGGAAGTTACCGATTGAGTGATACCGACGATATTCTATGGTATGTGGTATGATGGGGGAACTCACTAAGCTTTGTGCTTACAATTTATGTTTTGGTTTCAGGTACCTCTTCATCTAAGGGGAAGGAGCCGGCGGCATAGCATCGCATCACACACATACACACACATGATTCAGTATCAGACTTTCTGGGATTGTACTCTAATTTTCATTATTTTTGATGTCATGGTTTGGGACACAATATTATGAATTTGTAATGTGTTGCTTTATTGACAATGTTATGGTAAATTGTTTTAAAAATTAATAATTCAAAAATGAAATTTTCAGGCTTGAATTTTGCAATGTTACAACAGTCCTACGAGAGTGGCCGACTGTGTTCTCCAAGGAAGTTGCAGAAGATTTTGACAAAATGAGGCTGGGGAAAATACGAAAGGAAGGCTGGTGCATGGCTTTTCAACTCAAAGAAAGAACAAATGCTAATTTCCACAAAGTTTGTTTCTATCTTGCTGATAAGCATCTTTACTCCACTTCATGTCTACAATACATTTTGGAGTTTATGGATAAATGCAAAGGGAATCGTAAAGGGGATAAGAAGTGTTTCTCCGATATGATCCTTTGGTATATCTAGGTTCTCAAGGCCTTGCCGAGCATTATATCGAAGCTTTTTGAAGTTCAGAAGCATACTCAACCGTGAAGGTCTCCTGCCTTAATTGACGCAAATGGGGAGATTGTTTGGTCATATGAGTTGCATCATTGTGTACTTATTGTTTAGTCCATTTTGTTTAGCGGGTTGGACTTGTCCACCCAGTTATTTATGATTGGGGTTTTACTATTTAAAGTGAATGCATGCACCGTATCTTGAAATCATCAATGTTGTAAACCCTACACAACCTTTACACTAGCAGTTCTTTATCGAGCTCATCTAAGGATGTGCTCATTAACCATTTTACACAACCTTGATCTTCTTTTTGTGTTTTATATTCTTTTACCTGTTTGAATCTAATCGATCATTTAAGTTTTATACTTAACAAGTTCTTAAATCCAAAACTCAGATCCAAGCCTAAAATGATGTTCTAAGTCATAAAGTCTCCAAATTTATGACTTTGCATGGTTATAAAGTGCTTAATGTCCAAAACCCTAAGTTCTTAACCCAATAAGACATCACAACTCTTCCATGGAAGGGAAAGAAGTGCTAATATCACATTTTTATAGTTCATAATAGCTTTATAATGGATAAAGTTTCCAACTTTATCCACTAGAATGGTCCGAATAAACAAGATCTAGTCTTTAAATCTCAAAGGGACCCAAAAGATCGTATTTTTCAACTTAATCCATTAAGTACAAGTCTCCAACTTTCAGATCTGAATCAAAGTGATGTTTAGATGGATAAAGGTTCCAACTTTATCCATAACAAGGTCACAAATTTCCAAGATCTAAACTTTGTGCACTAAAATAACCCAAAAGCTCATAACATCCAAAACTAGTTATGTCTAACAAATGCATCATAAAGATTCAAACTTTATACATCTATAAGATAGATCAAAGTGAACAACGTCCATATCTACAAGTTCCAATGCAACCAACACATCTCCAAGAAGTTCCTTCTTCTCCAAGGTGCACCATACATACTCCAAAGCACTAAAAAACACCTTATTTTATCACACAAGGCTCAACTAGAGTTAAGGTATCATGGAAGGGGTGTTAGAGGGCTGGAGGTTGAGAATGGAGTGGTTTGGGGGAGTTAAAAAGCTTAAATAGGGCTCAAACCACAAAAATAGGCTTTGGACACGGATTACGTACGCCTAACGTACTCTTGGTATGCCCATCATACTCATGATTCCCTAAGTACGCCTAGTGTATACCTCCTTGTACGCCTAACATACTTAGCTTGGCCCAAAACCACCCAAACTTCTAACGACCATAACTTCTTCGTTCTAACTCCGATCTTGATGTTCTTCATATCAACAAAAAGGTAACGAGAATCTCTACACTTCTATCAATTATCCATTCTTTAGAACATTCCAAACAAAAATCCAAAATTCATAAAAGCCCTAACTAACATTTAACCGAAATACACCTTGGTGCCATAACACAGACAAAACTCCCAGATTATCCAAATTACATTACCCATATCCAAATGGGTCTAAATATCTTCTCCTCAAAGTCCCTAAGCCCGATGATACTTGGTCTTCGGGTCACACCCCACATAAGAAACGATTCAAAACAGGGCGTTACAACTCTCCCCCACTTAAATTCGATTTCTTCCTCAAAATCAGTCCTTGCCATCGCCAACATGCTCGACAGCCAGATGGATATAACCGTAACCTAGAATATACCATTATCCTCCCAAGGAAATTGAAACCAACCCTAGCAGGGCTCTCCGACCCAAAGACAAACAAATGCTCTCACCATCCGACAATAATCCCTTGCAAAATAGTCACCCCTACCCAATTTGAAATCTAAAGTCTCGGGATGGTCTGACTTGCTAGCAGACCGCCCACACTGAACCACTACCATTCAAATTCCACTAGAAATTAGAATTACAGAACGATTATCGTTTTAGAACACTTATGCTTGATAGAGAGCTTAGA